AGAAGCACCATCAGCTTTTATTAGTTTAATTTTGGTACATGATACTTGTCTACTAAAAGTAACAATACGTGTATATATTTGTGCATATGTATTGTATAGCTATGTACTCGAGTAGTATGTTATGTATACACATGTGTGACTGTAGACAGCTAGAAAAAACTAACTGTAGAGAAGAAAGGGATCATGCAGCCTGCATAGGAAGGTTTCTAAAGTGTCTTTTATCAGTCTCTCTGGAATGTTCATTTCTGTTTTAGAGAGGAGATTTTCTGATATCACAAATTACTCAGGAAAGAACAAGGATAAGAAGAGAAAGTCATTCTATACAGAGCATCTCTTTAGGAAGTAGTAATTTGATTAGAAAAAAGCTCATTGGTGAGCTTTCCAATGTTGAATGGTACCAGATAAATAAACTGCTCACATTGTTTAGAAGAATTATTACAGTTGAACTAATTCTCTAAGAATCCCTTTCAAATCAACAATTCTAAAGATTCAACATCAACTCTGAAAAAGACTTGCACAGTTTTTCTGTTCGGGGTCTTTTTGGGGGAGGCTAGGTCTATACTAAATTTAAGGCTGGCTTTGAATTTGCTTGTGTAGATCAGGCTGGCCTCAAATTTGTGATCTTCCTGCCTTATTCTTCCAGAGGAGGTACAGCTTGTACTGATCTTTAGATTTGCATACTTTGTCTTGCAAAAAACAAAACAGAAAATATTTAGGTATTTAAATTTTCAGTGAATAGCAAACTTTAATAATTTAATGGTATACTTGTGCATATACAAGAGGAGCATTTTGTGGCAAAACATTTCATAAGTGAAATATAATCACTTTTGTCGGGGGTGGTACTGGGATTGAACTCCAGACCTTGCACTTGTGAGCTAGGCACAGTGCCACTGAGCTAAATCCTCAGCCCTATAATTGCTTTTGATAAAATTTATTTCCCAATCCAGGTTTTAGACCTAGTCTCCAGGGACTGCAGTGAGAAGGTGCCCTCAAGTTGTTTCCTATTTTGGATTGTGTTCCATGGCTCCACTCCAAGAGAGCAGGATTAAATTATCTGCAGCACACACAGCTATTGAGAGTACAAACTCCCAGTCCCTAGATCCTTTTAAGATTTAACTCTACACACAAAAGCAGTTCTAACCCATTATGATTCTCACTTTAGTGAGGTTCAAATAAAGTTATAGGCACAGTTTTTACAGCAGTCTCTAGTTCCATTCTGTATTTCACTGCTATTTGATCTGCAGTTCAAGTATAAGCCAATTTTCAGTTCTCAAGGGTCCCTCAGTAAGCCACATTCTTTCTTCTGGGGCCCCTGACACCTATGGCTCTCCTCCTCACTTCTGTATTAATTCAATTCTTCCTAGATCAGAATTGCTCTTTTAAGTTACCCCTATTCAAGCAAGTGACTTCCTTGTATTCTAGAAATAGATTTAAACAGGATAATTTCTGGCCTCTAGTCCAAGGAAATGTTCAAGATAAGATGGATTGTTCTGATCTTTTCTTCCTTTCTCTTATATCAGACCATCAAAAACCTTGAGTTTCTTCAGAGTATCAGAAAGCTTACAGCAATATTTTCTAGTCTTACAGAAAGAAAAATATGCACAATCTCATTTATATATGGAACCTAAGAAAGTTAAACTCGTGGAAGAGTATGAAGTTGGGGAAAATGGGCAGACATTGAAGGGTATATTTCAGTTATTGCGGAAGAATGAGTTTTACAGATCTATTGCACATGCTGGTGACTATAGTTAAAATAATTTAATATATTTAAACATTCTAAAGAGAATGAATTTTAACTTGTTCACACCACAAAAAGATAAGTACTAAGGTGATAGATATATTTTGATTTAATCATTCCATGATATATATATATCTTTCAAAACTCACATTGTACTGTATACATACAAATATATATATATATAAATTTATATATATGCAAATATTATAAATATTATGTCTTTCCCAAATCAAGGGACTTAGGAGAAAAAAAAATCAAACTGTCCTATACCCCAGCTAGAGAAAAACCCTTATGAGAATTGTCACCAGAGTGTTTTAGCAAACATTAACATTTCCCTGACCCAAATGTGTTTTCATTATTCACCACGAGCTTTCTAAGGAGGGATGGATGTACTTGACATAGAGATGCATTCACTGGTTATATGGCTTGCAAAAAATAAAAAGAATTCCAGTGTTTCCAATTATTAGTTTCTTTCAGAATAATACCAGCCTGTTTAGTTATCAATGTTTATCAAGAACCTAACTATCCAGGATATAAGGAACAGATTTTATGGATCCTTCTTTCAAGTGGCTTAAGCTAAAAATGGAAAAAGGTTATCTAAGAGTCCATTGTTAAACAAATGGAATGGTCTCTTTCAATAATTACTTTTGGGCCGCATGGAAAGTGTAACAGTTATAGTTGGAAAATATACACACATGAGGCTCATTTTCAAAGCCACTTTAACTTTAAGCTCTAGATGATGTTTAGTCAGGGCAGAGTTTTAGATGTTTAGCCAGGCAGGGCGAGATGAAGTCACTAGTATTTTGTTAGGGAGAGTTACTGAGCCAGATTTATATGAAGTATGCCTTGCATCACTTGTCTGTTCTGGTTTGGTCTTCTGCTCCCTTCACCTTGTTAGCATTCCTATCTGTAGCACATTATCCTTGGGACATTATTCCAAGACAGAAGGAACTACACAGTGCTTCTCAGTTGCTCTGCTGGGCTATGGGACAGCCATTTCCTCTGGTGTATCCATCTTAATTTCCACATCAGTACCCTGAACTTCTCATCATCCTCTCCCATTCCAGGGAAGAAGCAGACTTTTGTCTGCGGTCATATTTCTGGGGACAAGTTTTCTGTTCACATATATGTTTTAGTAAATTCTGGGGCTACCTGTGTCATATACTTGATTTCTTTATACACTTGGCAATTCCTCATGTACTTCTTGTGACATTCTATGTGTTACTTTATTTTAAACAGTGACATGTTTTATTGTTGATCTCATGGGTTGATTATGACAAGTTCCCTAAGAACCATAACCATTATCTCCTTCTACTTTAAATCCGTCAAAGTGTCTTCCATCCACTTTGACTTTATCAAGCCATAAACTTGAGTGAGTTTTTGAACACTAACTAGTTATATTCTGTTTGCTATTTCACTGAAATATTGCCTAGTTATCTTACTATAGATGTGCAACTATTTGACAGATATTTGAAATTTTAGAATTTGATTAAGTATAAATCTCAAAAATTTTAATTTACTTACAACTCATATAACATGAATCCACTGTCTTTTCTTCCTCTTAATCTGTGGTAATAGGAAATTTATAGCAATAAACTATACTATTGCCAATATCTTGGCATTCAGCCTTCCTTTAATATCATTTCTTCACTTCATCTTTATTAAACATTTATAAATAATTGAGACCTAAATTACAAGCCTGCAAGAGTGTCTAAATTCCTGTTATGATGGTGTTTTTTTTTGTTAATGTTTGAATGCAGTTCTTGATCAGTTTTATTTTTGAGTGTACAATTTGCAGTTACCTCTTGGAAAAAGTAGAATGCTAATGAATTTCAGATGTGGTGTGAATAACTTGTTTGTACATTTGAGCAAAATCAAACACATTTGGGACAAATTTTGTTTATTCTTTGGATTCAAAGAATAATATTGTGCCAGTAATTCAACAAGTGCAAAGACAGTCCTTACAAAAGGGGAATTTGTGGATTTCAGAGAATATAGTTTGAGATTTTTTTCTAGAGAAAATAATAATGAGCCAGTACCAGTGCACATTCCTGGAGTTACCCAAGCTTGCAGTTCTACTTTAATATGTTGCTTTGTGCTTCTATGGGGAGAGAGAAATTAATTCCACAGATTAAGTGTTAACTAGTCTTAACAAGAATCTTTTCATCTTTGATGGGAAGTAAATCTTTGATCAAGTTTAAATTGAACTGAAGACACTAATGTGAATACTCTTCAAATGTCTGATGACTCAGAATCTAAACAGAATGAGATGGTCAGCTGTGCATCTGATACTGGAAGGATTCTCTGCTGCTCTAGTAATGACAAGATGCTTTAGAGGCAAAGTCAGAGTCATCTCCCTTCCATTTTGTGGCTCTACATGAACTGAACCTCCAGTCAGCATTGCTTCATATCACATTTGTGCCATGAGCTTAAGCGGGCGCCTTATAAAGATACAGTTAGTTATCACTGAACAGCAATCGTTATCATAGCTAGGATACAACTTAAGAGTTTGACTTGTTGGTGACTTGAGGCGTTTTATTTCACCTTTGCAGGTCTTACAAAGAGATGCAAGTTTCTCCTGTCTTCTTAATTCCCCTTTTCCTTAAGACTGCACACATTTCCTTGGTTCTGGGACACAATCCTAACAAGGATTCAAGACCGTCTATGTTTAGGGATCACAGTATTGATGACAAGAGAAGCATAAGGAAAATAACACATTGTTCTACTCCATAGAAGAAATAATGTATTTTTTATATTTTCTTATTATTAATATCTTACATATTCTGATCCTGCCTTCTGATTCATATAGTTGGATGTAGCTTCCTGAAATTAAGATTTAATTAGGGCACTGTTTCTCAGACTTGATCAGGCATTGGAATTACGGGATTGTTAGAATGCCAATTGTTAGAATGCCACCCTCAGTTTTTGACTCAGTTTGTCTTGGTTGGGAGCTGAGAATCCTTATTTCCTTTTTTGGTACCGGGGAGTGAACTCAGGTCCTTGTGCTTGCAAGGCAGGCACCAGAACCACTGAGCTAAATCCCTCGCCCCTGAATTTCTGATAAGTTACTAGATGATGTTGATGCTCCTGGTCTAGGGACCACACTTTGGGATCCACTTAATTGGGGAGTTTTATGCACAATCTTTTTCAGCAGAAAAGTGGTCATATTGATCTCTTATGTCCTATAGTAAACAACTTATCACTTAAATTTTATAAAAGAATTTTTTTTTCAGCACAGGGTATTAAATACAGGGACTCATACCTGACAGGCAAGCACTACCACTGAACCGCATCTCCAGCTCTGTTTTGAAGTTTTCAGGATACTTTCTGACTGTATAAATCAGATACATACACATAGTCTTCACAAATGCTTGTTAAAATGTCTCAAAATGTCTAGAAATTCAATGAGTGCAGTATTTTGAAAAGCAAATTAAGAAACAATGCTAGATTTTCCAGAAGAAAATCAATCACATCTAGTTTATTATATATAATCTTATTTTAAAAGTAATTGATTTTTTCTATAAACTCAATTCATATACATTTATGTGACATTCAAGAATTTTCAGGTACCCCAAGGAAATCAACAAGTAAAAACAATGAAGAACTGTAAACTGGCTAAAAGCCCATTTTACTTTTTGCTTGAAGTATTTTTAGGTTAATATCATAATTTACTCAATTATAGTCTTCCTTTTACAAAATATCTTTTACAAAAGATCAAAGTTCTTCACTGGGCTGTGTAATTATATGCAAGAAAAATTAGGCATTTATTTCCTCACAAAACTAACCCTACTAGCCAGAGAACCTACTAATATCAGTCAGGTTAACAAAAGGGCAGTGTTTGAAAGCAGTTTGGTAATGACAATGACAGGTATGTTGAGCCACTTGATCATACTATAATATAAACCTTCTTTTGGATATGAGATCACTTAAGTTCAGAATGAAAGAAATAGACAAAAGATGTCTCTAGCCCTGGGAAGTGAACATATTAGTTCAAGTTTCTCTTTTTTAAAGCAGATGTATACATAATACCTTTTTTCCTTTTCAAAATAGTATTTTAAGTTATCTTTATGTTTATAAAGAAGTATGCAGGAGATAATAGATGGTCCCCAAGGGTATAGAGATTTTTTTTAAAGCCTGAGTATAATCTGTTATTGTTTTAAACTTTATAAGAGGCAAAAAATATTTTTTGTTGCTCCCATATTACAGGTAATAATGATAAAAGTAAAATAAAATCATGGAAAATACAGTGGAAAGCTGAAAATATAAAAACTTTAGCAAATTGAAAAAATTTATAATTGACACATGATACTTAATTTAGCCATGCAGAAATGTAAAAAGATCAGCTAATTATGGTATGGCATATATCTAAATACAGGTGCCAATGTCTGACTATTCTACCTATGCAAAGTCTAAAACAGTAATGGCGAACCTTTTAGAGCTTTTAATGATAACAGATGGCCTGCTGCAGCTCACATATCATAGGTTTGCCACCATTGGTCTAAAACAATAGAGACCTTTTCACAGGTGAACAGCCAAGTGGGATCACAAAAACTGCAAAGGAACTGAGTATTTAACAATGGATGAAGTTTGATTTTAGCTTTTGAAAGTTTAAACAAATTAAAAATATTAGACATTAGACAAACAACATTTTAAACTGAACTAACATCTCTAATATTAGGACTTTCTCACTGTTAGCTGTGAAGTGCATGGAATTTGTTAACAGAGGTATGTTAGAATGATCAACCTTCCTATATGCCGTGGTCTGCAACATTTCCAGCAATATGAGAATTGCAGTTTTAAAACCAGTATGAGTTTGAAACCCTAGGGTTTGCTTTCCCATCTATCAGTGACATCTTAAATCAAACCAGCCAGGAACTGTGCTCTGGACTTGGTTCTGTATCACCTTCACTGGACATTTTGTACTGAGTTTATTTCTTGATGTTACTGTTTTTGTTGTTGTTTTGATTTTGTTTTTTAGCAAGTTACCAGTCACACCTGTAAATCCTGACTGCATTTAGTAATTACCAGTTATACAAAATGCCTTGTGTTTAATTTTTTGAAAGTTCAAGGAAGCAAACAGATGCCTTCCAATTGGGTAATTAATGTATTTTCTCTTTTTGCCAGCTCCCAAATTCCCACATTAGTTTTTCTCTACAAAAATGGGACTCCTAAAAAATTATATCTGATTTAAAAAAATCTTTTATCAACTTGAACTAGTGATTTCTAACTCCGTTTCCTTTCAAGAGGATTATATAGACTACATAGTAACACAGAAAACTAAAGGTGAGCCATCAATGGATTATAATCTCTTAAGTCATCCAACTTCCTTTTGGCATAAATGAGTACCTGTCATGTTTGAGGTAGATAGTATCTCATGGGAATAATCACTTTCTAAAAGTATACATGACTCCAGTTTCCTAACACTGGAATTCATGTAATTCCATATCTGCCAAAGATAACACTAGTCACATGAAACACTCAGTGTGACTGGTTTCCCTACCTTCACCTTCATTTGGCCAAAAAATGACCTGAAAGAAAAAACAGCTGACTATGACTTGATCTTTGGACATTATGCTGTATTTCAAAACCCTTGTTTTTGCACAAAACTGAAAACTCTGAAAAAGCATATGAAAAGGAATAAAATCATCATGTTTTCATTAAACTGTTAGGAAATAGGCAGCTGGTTAAAGAAATATTTATGAAATAGTGTACATTCAAAAATCTAATGCTATTTAAATTAGTAGAAGCTGAATGTGATTGGTATAATACACTCAAAGGCACAGTTGATTTTAAGATTGAAACAATACAGATCTCAACCTTTACAAAAAAATGTTCTCAGGTTTAGGTTATGTAATGATAAACTGTACCTGTTGAAAAATATATGTGGAAAAATAAATAATTTTATACAAATATGACTCATGTGTAGATATTCATTTATTCTAATCCAGCTGACCATGGTAAATGAGTTCGGCTTACTGGGCATAAGTATGCAACATTTAAAAGTGGAGATCTTTATTGAAACAGAAGGCTCCTCAAACTGCATGATGATGTCAGGAATAGAGGTCCTTGGAGCACATTATTGTTTTAAATGGAGGTCCCCACACTTTCACGTTGGTTATAAAACATTATTTTGTGCTGCTGGCCTGGAATAAAAATGTCATACATCTGCAGGCAATTAGAAGAAGCTGGACTGCATGTTTGATTAGCTCAATAATAAACGGGCACAAGTGTGACTCGACTTATGTTAGTCAGATTCCCAAGACAGATTATCCTGTTGTTATCATATGAAATAACCCCCTTTTATCAACAATTAAGCAAATCCACATTTATGGGCACTTTGCAAAATTGTGTGGTGGGAAGAAATCCAATTTAAGCCTTATGTCATCCAAAAAAACTTTTAACCCTGCTTTCAGTGGTACAGACCCCAATCCCAAATTTTGGAAATTGGCTGAATTATACAGAATAGTTTGGGTTGGAAATACTCTGTGTGCACACAATAAACAAGCATATGTTTACATCTTCCATAAATAAGGTATTAATAGCTCTACTTTATAATTCTGAAAAATTCCAAAAGAAGTGAGAATTGTTTTAATATGGAAAGGGAACTTTGTAAAGCAGCCTAAATATTTTCAAGAAAAATTAAATAAGATTTCATTTTCATTATTCATACTATAGTTGCTAGTGTCACCAATGTGTGTTATAAGTCTGAAATGTATTTTATTATAGAACTTCTTCATTCAGTCTTAGGCTTTGTTGTTTAATTCAAAATAAGAATAAATGATGGACTAGTAACTATTTTGGGAAATGGCCTATTCATTTACTTGTTTTTTCCCATCCCAATATTATTAAAATGTACAATAGCTAAAGGGATAAAAATAACTCAGAATGTAAAATCATTATTTAAAAACTTCAGCAAAATTTTTAAATTTCAGAATAAACCAACCAAACTTTCTAATCTAGTTGTGTATTTAAGTAACAATTGAAAGTTGGTATTCTTAGATAAACTTTAGGTATTTTTATCAGTATTCACCCATATATATGACATAATACATATATTATGTCATTTATCTCCTGACATAATCCTTGAATTAAATATCAGAATATCAAGCAGATGCTGAAGCATTCATCATCAATATTGGAATTCTGACTCATGACAGTAACACAAAACAGATGCTCATATGATGCTCCCTCTGAAAAGCGACACCATCATAGCACTGATTACCTCTTGATGTGGGGTTAACTTAAAATTTGCACACAAAATATGAAATAATAAACATGTACTGCAAACATGTATGAAAAATAAAAATGAAGTGAATCAAGGGGTAGGTGGAGGCAGGAAGGAATGAAGGGGAAGGGGAGGATAAAAAGGGTTAAAGTGTGCTCCGTATATATACCAACTTCCCATAAGGAATATAAACATTATGTTCTATATACATGGACTAATAAACTTGAGTAAATATAAAAAATAATGAAAATGAAATAAAGTAAAAGTCAGAGCATGACAGATTTTCTTACTTCACTTCTAAAATGTAGTGTCTCTTATACAGAAGGTAAATAAAGCACTGGGAATATGGGGGACAGTATCCTATGGCACAAAAAGATGCACTGTACCTGATATGACAGGTAGATGTTCCCAGATGTGTTTATTTTTTTGGGGGTGGGGAGCACTCTCTTCCTCACTCACATCCAGTTAGAAGTTCAGAGCTCCTGGGCTTCTTCCCCTGGCCAGTGTGTATGTACCATGCCCTTACACAGTTTACAGGGTCTACCCAGCCAGTCCCTGGCAATGTGAAAGGAGTCTGGGGGCTCTTGTAGTCTCATCTTAGTAACACAATCTCTATACCAGGTGGCTCTGAAATGGTTTGCTAAGAAGAAAAAGGGAAACAAAATCCCTTTGCACAGTCCAGTTAGCTAATATCCTACATGTCTTCAAAGCCCGAGATTCTTATCAATTTGCTAGCATGAGTCTACAGCTGTTTCTAGAATACACAGTGATATGTACTCTTTCTGAAAATAAACAGAAAAGCCCAGGCAGATGGTGCCACAGTGCAAGTGATATAAGCAAAATGTGCTCAAGTGAAAGCCTTAAAAGAGATATAAATATGAGCAGTGAAGACTCCCTTCAAGGTAATGAGAAGCAGGAGCCCCGTTTTTTTTTTTTTTTTTTATTCCTGGATGAGGAAAATAAGCCAGTGGAAAGTTCAGTGAAGAGAGCTAGAGAAATAAAAAGGAGGCATTTATGGAGTAGCTCAACAGCACAATTTCAAACTCCAAATGAGCAGCCTGACTGTTATTTCTGACAGCTGTGACTGTCGTGCCCTCCTGCCTGTGTTTGAAATCCAGCTCTGTACTTAGCACCTGTGTGACTTCTGGTTCTCATAGTGGCTGCATGCTGAAATCACGTGGAGGTATTTAAAAAATACTGGTGCCTGGAATGCAACCCCTGAGGCATTTATTTAATTGTTCTAGGGTGTGGCTTGGCCATTGAGAAGTTTTAAGTGTTCCTAAGTGACTATAAATAGGGACAGCTAAGGTTTGGAAACACTGATGAACTTCCTGAGCCACAGTTTCCTCATCTGTAAAATGATAATGACAGCAACTGCCTTTTTAGATTACTGCAATGATTAAATATGCTAATGTAGATAAAGCACTTATCACAATGTCTCACACAAGGGAAGCCCTTGATAAATGTGAGCAATTATCATTATCCTCACCAAGAGGTGCATTTGTGAGAGAACTCTGTTAGCATAATAAGTCATACTCACCTTGACACAGGTTATGTTCGCTCTGCTCATAGCCTGCTGCACATTGGATCCGATGGGAAGGGTTGGAGGGAATGCGCTGAGGGTCAGCTGGGTTCCGTCGGATGACAAAGTTATTTCGGCCAGTCTGCACTTCAGGGCCTACGACTGCAGCAGCACTAGCCACAAAACCACCCCCAGGCACCACTCCACTGGCTGCCATGCTACTGGCAGAAACACCCCCAGTGGCTGCACCCAAGGATGCTTCAGCTCCTGGTGTTTCTTGCTGAGGTTGTTCATTATTGACAATAATTTGGGCTGTTTTAGGAAGACAGAGGTATCCTCCATAGTGGTTGACACATTTCATTCCACCTTTGCAAGCATCTGGGACAATGTCACATTCATCAATATCTGGTCAGTAATAAAATAAGTTAGCAATTTGCTTAGAGGGAAAACAGGGCATATAAATACATGCACATGCCTGTAGGTATAATACAAATAAGACGAGAAGAGTAACACAAGAGATGAAGACAGAAAGCTATGTTCAGCTGGGGAGACTGAAGCTGGCTCACCTTTGCACTGCTGTCGTACGGGGTCCCACTCATATCCATCAGTGCATTGCTGCAAAGAAAACACCAAAGATGGAGGCAGAGGAAAATCAACAGTTTCTTTAAGAAGTCACTCTAAAACTTCATTCTTATGGCTTTAGTCCTTGAGCTAGAGTCCTAGATATATGATGAGTAGTTTAACATTCTTTGGTATTCTCATTTTTAAGGCAAGTCTGTGAATTAGGTAGTTTCAGGAGTCCCTTTTCCATCATCAGCTGCCTCAACTCTCCTGTTGGATTAGGTATAGTTGCCTATTAGCATCATTTTAGAATTATTTTCTCTGTCTCTTCAGAATATCTTCATTCTCTCTGACTGATCTTTTATATCTGCTCCTTTGGTTTTCCACAATGTAAATTCTACCATTAAAAAAATTCAACCAAGTTTTTCTATAGCATTGAAGTATTCTCCAAGTACTCTCGAGCATCCAAGCCCTTGGCTTTCCTGACCATTTTTTGCTGTCATACCCTTCCTGCCTCCTACCTTTAGTTCCCATAGGTCTTCTCTAGTTCACTCACTGAACAAATCATCTATCAAGCACCTTCTCACATCAGGCATTGTCCCAGGTCCTGAGGATACAAAGATGGTGAATAACTGGCCCCTATCCTCAAGCAGCTCATGAGCTAGAAGATTAGGTGAACAACCTGGGGGAAGATGCCAGTGGTGTGATGGAAGTGTGTGTGTGTGGAAGAGGTGAGGGGCTCTGTCTGGAGCTGTGGGGTGGGGTGTGACAGGAAAGAAGAGAAGGCTCTACAGGGGAGGTGGCAAATGAATTGGGCCTTATACAATAAGCAGGGTTTTTTCCCATGGAGATGAGAGACTTCTAGGAAGGGGGAACATTAGAAGCAAGGGTATGAAACTATTGAAGAGGAAAAGTGCTACAAGAGAAGTGGCCTGGCCAAATCCAGGAAGCCTTTCCTTAGGTTAGGGAGGGACTAGATTCTACTCTGAAGGTCAGTGAATCTGAAGCTTTAGAATATGCCTTAGGATCATCCAGGATGTTTATTAAAATGAACATTCTTAGGCTCACCCTAAGGATCTCATTTTGTAGGTCTGGGTAGGAGGCTTGGAGTCTGAATTCCTAACATATATCACAGGTGATTTCTATATAGAGAGTATATCTGTGGCTACATCTTGAGAAGTGTTGCTAGAACACAGAAACATAAGCTCTGACTTCTCCAATTATTTTCCTTTAATCTCAGCCTACTTGTGTTTACTTTTACACATTCACATTGTTGTGAGCCTTCCTGACTTCACATGGAGGCCAGGCTTTCTCTTTACATTCTGAATACACCACTCTTTGTGTTCTTTCTTTCTGGGTTAAGTTGCTCCTCCATTTATGAGCTCATTGTTGCCTACAGACTTCTGTCTATCTGTATTACCATCTTCAGGTTCTTTCCAGCTCCCAGGTCCTTATTACTTCTTGGACTTCTCTTGATTGTGTTTGCCACAGTCTTAATGTCACTCTCTCTGACTCAGGTGCCTCTTTACTCTTTTTACATCAACTTGAGATCATAACTTCCTTCAAGAACCAGCACAGAGTGCTTTCTTCTCTGATATGCCAGCACCGTTAATTATCTCTTTGCTTTTCTACTTCTTTAGAAATTTTTTATAATATGGATAACAGTATTTGTACTTGTTTAGGAATTTTGTAATTTTTTTCAGCTTTAATTGAGTTTATTGGTACATTTTAGGGATACAGTACAGTTACATTCATTGTTGGGATCTTGTACCTCTACATGACAAGTCTTGATTCTCATTTTTTCCCCTTACCCCTGCCCTCCCTTCACCCCCTCCTCCCCTCCCCATCTACAAACACTTTATTTCCATCATTTCATTATCTCACATTTTTTTCTTTTCCCTTATTACCCTTCCCCTACCCATCCCACCTTCCTTACACCTTTAGCTCCTTTGTTCCCATTTCTAAATGTCAGTAATCTTATTAGGATGTTATGTATTATTGCAGATTATTCACACCAGGGAAACTATTCGAGGAATTTTGTAGTTTTCAACATTGTCTTCCCAGTGTAAATTCCATGAGACAGAAGGCTGAATCTTCTTAGTAAACAAGTAAAGTTTTTAGGTAATGATGAGAGTTGTTTAGGCTAATACTTGTGAAATAGCTAAATGAACCCTATCTTTAATATGGAATGGAAAAATGAGGCTGCCTTGAGGATACAAGCCCATCCTTCTGAAAAGTATTTTTAAAATTAGGCAAAAGTGGCAGTTCATTTGAATAATTTGTATTGTAATGGGAAGATGTACAATCTTTTACAGGCATTTAGTTCTAGTATATTTGATGTGGGTATACGACTAAACAAGTCTAGACTGAATTTAGCTTCACCGCTTCCTGGCTCTGCAGCCTTAAGCGAGATAGACCCTCTCTGATCTGGTTCCATTGTCAGCAGAAGGAAGATGATGCCACTTATCTCACACTTTACTGTGAGGATAAAGGGAGATAGTGTCTCCACAGTGGGGTACTCAAGACCCCAATGGTTACACCTTTTCCTTTAACCATGAATTATTAGTCATACACAATTCGAAAGAGAACAAAAAGGGTATCATATGTCTTTAAAAATCTGTTACAATAATAGTGAATCCTCATTAGTAATTTTTTTTTCATTGAGTTTATTGGTACTTTTTAAGTACACAGTACAGTTACACTCATCATTGGGATCTTGTACTTTTACATGACGGATCTTGATTCTCGTTTTCCCCATTCCCCTGTCCTCCCTTCACCCCTTCCACCCTCTCCTATTTACAAAGCCCTCATTAGTAGTTTTAAAACTTTAGTGCTTAATTCACAGGAACTTTCTCTGCTAAAAATGAATAAAGTTTAGATAGTTAGCAAAAGGAAGAGGGCATAAAATAATCAATTGTAAAAGCAATAAAATGTTTTTCAGAGAAGCAAATAGCATATTTAGTTTTGACTCCCTGAGGAGATGGCAAGTTTGGCCTGAATAATAAAACATTTTCATTTGAAGGGAAATAGCACAAACATTCATTTTCTTGTCTTATTTAACTTCAGCAGAGGAAGCAATTACATTTAATATTAAGTTAACAATATATTTACATTAAATTATTTTACTTAGAGTTGACCTGAATAACAGAAAGGAATATTTGCCAGATGATACTGACATCAAGTGATAACATGGTTTATTATAAGTGATTGACATTAGTTCACTTTCAAGAGTTTTATATTTAAAAAATCTCACATTCTTTTTAAATTTTTAAAAAAATTTTTGGTACTGGGAATAGAACTTGGGTCCTTGCACTTGTGAGGCAGGTGGCAGAACCTCTGAGCTAAATCCCCAGCCCTATCTCACATTCTTTTGAGTAAGACTACTTAATTTAAAAAAAGTTGGGAGCAAGTAGAAAACATGTTTTTCACATTTTGATCCATGACCAATGTCTTTCATGTTACAATACTTACTACAAACTAGAAAACACAAAACAGAGGTGTAAACTCACCATCAGTGAGGTAAGAACTGTCCTGCTCTTTTCTCACCACGTGTATTTTTGGGGAGTGGGAGAAGTCTGGTAATACAGTAAGTATGTTAATAAATATTGATTATACTATGCGGTTAACTAATCAAACACTACTTCAAAATATCAGAGATGCTAGTAAAACATGTAAAAGTGAACTGCATATGCTGTATTTTAGCAAATAATACATCTTGGAAACACATAAACTGCATGTGAAGGGAATTTGTATGAATTATACTAGAAATGAATATATAATCTTTATAGATTCAATAAAGGTGGCTTCCATGAGAGAGTAAGTTACACGAATAAATGGGGTGCTGTGCTTATATGATGTTTAACAATCTTATTTGACTTGAGTGTTAGTCTGCACATATTTATTTCATTTGCATGCACTCCTATGGGAGAATTCAGGCTTCTCATTTCCTTGTACCCATTAATTTATTGAATGTATTGGAAATATACAACTTACTTTTAGTTTTACAGGGTTGCTCTTTTGGCTTTGCACAAATCATTACATTTGGGCTTCTATCTCAGTCAGTGATCTAAATTAACTTTTGTAAGGATGGAGAGCAATTAACAATGAATCTTAAACGGGAACCATACTAAAAACTTTTTACTGCCCTTTGCCAGGTACAACCTGTATCCACCGGCAGGGTTGTATGAAGTCTTTCTTGAGGCATAGAATCCCGCTGAATGCACTTAATGTCAAATTCCATCACCCCTTACCGTGTATGTGATGGTTTCTTCGGTGTCCTGTGACTTGACCAGTGCCAGAGTCAGCATAGTTAGGGAAAGAACTTTCCACATCGTGAATCTCAAAGAAAACATAAGACAAATCTATGTTTATTATCTGCTGAAGGGAAATAACCAAACTTCAGCAGTGAAGTAACAGGCAAGAAAGGGTGGGGAGGCCCAGGCATTTGGATAACCAATTTCAATTGGCTTTCTCATCTCCTCTTCCTCTTTAACCTTTGCCATACCTACCAAAGGAGGCAGGAAAGCCCCAAAGAGGGCTACGGAACTGCATTTCATTTTATTCCATCCATATCACTCACTATGCATTTTATACTGTACCTAACACAACAGGCTCCGGGAAAAGGAGGAGTCAACGGGAAGAAAGAGTATAAACAAATGTAAAGGAGACAGTGTATTTGTGTTTTGGGGTAGAAGTGAGGCAGCAAATCTTTGTTCTCAAGGACGTTAAGAATTTCCCTGCGTGCTCACCTCCAGCTAGTCACGTTAGTTGCAAAGCTCAGCAAAAGTATCTGCAATCTCAATTATATGGCCTTAAACTTTTAAAAAGCAAAAACAAAACTTGGAAAGCAAACTCCTTCCAGTTCTAGTAGAACACTCTATAGAGTTTCCCACACCCCTTGAGGCTGCTCCTCACATCCTCACGCAAAGACTCTAAGTGCATCTCCTCGCTGTTCTCAACGCACAGCTTTGTTTCAAAGCCCCAGGTGGTGTAGAGGAGCCACCCAACGCGTCTTTCCTTTCTCTTCAGGCCTTTGGTCTCAGACAGGCTACCCTCAAGATCGGGCTGTCTCGGGCGGAATCGCGCTCCGCGCAGCAGCCCGGGTACCAGTTTCCGGGTGGCCTGGCTGGTGCCGAGCGTGAGGCAAGGTCCTTTTTCTTAACTGTAAGCTAACAGGCAGCGGTCCGCCAGAGCAGTTTAGCACTCGGCTTCTACTAAAGAGCTTGTGTGGAATCCAGGTGCGGGTTAAATCTCGCACGTCGGTCCCCTGAAACTTTCAAAACCACGTTTACTGGCAAAGCTCTGCGGGTTAGTTGTGGGCGCGCACATACTTGCCGATCCCAACAGATGTCACCCGAGTACTCGCGCAAGCTGACAGATCGCATTCCGAGACCGCACACCTCCACCTCCCTCTCTCCTTGCACAGTCCCGGCAATTCCCGAGTGCTCTGCACCCCTCGGCTTTTCCCACCTCACTCTCTGGCGCGTGGTCCCGCGGGTATCGGGCACGCTCGATGCGACCCCCCGCGTGGGGCTCCTACCTGCGCCGCCGCGCTGCGCTCT